CAAAATGATACCGAAATTTTCTAGGGGCCCTGATCGGATATATACTATGTCATGTGATATAACGTGACATAATGTTTTTATATCCCCGGATATAAAAAATATACAATCTACTCTTTCTATACCGAACCCTCGGTTCTGGCCAAAAAAAAAAGTTTGTTATATAGAATTACTATGTTTTTCTTAATAGCCATAGCTCTTGTTTTACCGAACTAATATTAAAATTTGAGTTCATTATATCCAGAGTTCGTTATAAAGAGGTTCGTTATATCCAGAGTAGACTGTATCCGGATTGAGGTATTAACTCTAGGTTGGATAACGTTCAAGAAATTGGAAGATTTGGTACGGTGTTTTCAGCAACATGGTTAATGATAAAGAATAGTTCAAGTAGAATGTTTTAAAACACGATCTCAAAAATTATGATTGTTTGATTTAAAACTGTTAGAAAATGGTTTAGTAATTGTCCGATTGCATAATTTATATTATGTCAAAAAAAAAAAAAGAATAAAATTCTTCAACAAATGTAAACTAATATAGAATGAAAGGCTACATTGACTGATAAGAAAATTTCGCATTTAAAAATGCAGTAGCTTTGATAATAATAAAAAAAATTAAACCGATCAAAAATATAACAATTTTATGATATTTCCAGTTTCAGCAAAATTTTAGCATTGACATCAAGTTTTAAAATCATTATATATGCTACTGTAAGTGGGAATGGAATCATAATAGGTTCTGAATTCAGAATGGAATAATTACAATAAAAATCCCTGAATTCTGTTCTCACTTACGACATCTACAAATTATCTAGAAAGGTTTAGAAGACAATATCTAGGAAGGTTTAGGAGACAGTATTTACCCTATGTTGTTTCGGAAATGAAGGCTGCCTTATTATGATGTTGAGTATGATGAAACATTATCTAAATATTCAATAAAATACGTTCTGAATTTGCTAAAGGTATTTGTAAAATTACAATAAATTTACTTGGGTTTTAAAATCTCTATTATATATATATAATTAAATATATATCAGTGTATTGTGTGTCAATTTTTTAGGAGAATAAAACGTTATGACTGGTGATAGACATCGTCTTTTTTGTATACAAGTGATTTGAATAATGACTAAAAAATGTGTCCGTATATCATAAATGAACAGTGTAACAAACGGGAGTATCTAGCTCAAGCTCTGCATCTAAAAACAGAACTTTACTATATACTTCGAAATTAATCTAAAGAAACGTATTAATGTGGTATAAACGGTTAAATTTGAATTAAACACAATAACTTGTTTTGACTTATATGTCAAATTGACTTATTACTGTATTAAGACTTTTAAATAAAAATGACAAAACTCATTAGCTCAGTCCAGTATAATGCTAATTTATTGGGTATAAAAGTGATGATCTGCTGATGATCTGCAAAAAAATCAATTTATATGATACCAGATACGTATGACCTCACGTAAAATAATAAAATAATAATTGGATAAAAAAGTTGTTACATGGTTGCCATAGACCCAAACTCTACAAAATTCAAAGTTTTCATAAATTAAAAAAGCTTTGACTCAGCAGTATAACCATTTTCAGGAAAATTCCGTTAGCGATGGTCAACTCCAGAGGAAAGCAGTCGGCTTCGTCATGAGTTTCAGGCCTCGAATGAGTGAATATCAAATTCAAAAATCTCATGAAGTTCGTAAAGGTGATAATTCGATACTCTGAATGTTTACAAATTACACCTCAAACAGTGCCTATCTCTGGGACACACCTGAGCATTCAAATTTTCAGTAGTACAGCGAGTTTGGTAAGTGCTTCAAAAGTTGTTTGTAAAAAATATAAATTACTGACATCATTCTTTGACTTGTCACATCTTTTCGACTGCAAGAAACATTTTATATTATATATCACTTGTTCATACTTTGGTATCGACCACCCTTTCTGAGACAAATGCGATTATTAGTTCCGTTTTATATTTTTGGGTTTCAATGTCAAATTCAATGAGATTCTTCTAGTCTGTAAACAACTGTATCACCTCATATTCCACCGAAAATGAAGCAACGTATATAACAAGTAGAGTTTTTTTAACCCGTTATGTCATCGGCATTTCAATTTCGCCAGGATTAGTGATAGTAAATTATTAGGGGGACTAGTAAGATAAGGTATGCTATATTTACTATTAAATCATCGGTATGGTCCTGTGCAAAAAGATTTGCACTTTTTAATTTTTGTACTAAATAAAAGTTTTTTAATTTTTGATTAATTATTTAAATTTTTTTTAAGTAGGTTTTGATCTAAATTTTTATTTTATTTTTATTATTTTAATAATTAATAATAATATGCAACTTTTTATATTTAAAAAAAAATAAATTTTTTTTTAATAAGCATATAATGAATATGTGATTAAAATTTGAGCAAATTTGGATTACTAGTTGTAAAAAAATTAGGTAAGCTTTAAAGTTAAATAATTTGATTTTTTTACTATATATGTGTGTATATAAATTACTATATATGTTATTTTACATAAAATATTGAATGTAGTAAAAACTGTAATTGTATTGCCATAATGCTATGCCGTAAATCTATATTACAGCAATACAGTATTGTCATTGCCATATTGCAATAATGCTCTATTTAAATTGACCAGTTAGTTTTAACTTTATAAAACAACCATGTGAACCTTCCTAATATTTCATTATGATATTTTAGTAATATAGCATTATAACATTAGAGCAATGCGAGCATTAAAATGTGAGTCACGCATACAAATATAGATGGCTTGCTAGTTGAAAAAAACTGACAAACACACTATTAACAGCTCTTGAACTTTTGACAATGATAGAACGAGTCTATAGATGCCTGACGAAACTATAAGTTTCGTCATTGACGAAATGACGAAACTATTATGTTTCGACGTTGGTTTCGTCAGGCATCATTAAACGAGTCAGATAAATATGATTTTAATCACTGTTTATTATGTATTTAAGAAATTATGCCAAGTTTTGGATATAAGGGAGTATAATTTTCTCACCTGCAGTAATGATAATTGCAAATTATTTATATTTATGGTTGGCCTGTTTTATGCAGTTAAAAACAACTGGTCGATATTATTTTCGCTAGTTTTATTCATAATAGCGGATTTTAAATATGCATCACGCAACACGACGATGATTAATTTTTGGGAAACTATTTTTCAGGATTCCGTGGTAGAACCGTTGTAATGAGATCTATCTGATTGCTGAATTGTCTTAGAAAATCTTACTATGTACTTTTATTGGTTGAATCTTATCTAAAGCGATCCGCATTTCTATTGGCTAATTTAAAAAAAATTTGAAATTTTTTGACCCGGCCGGGTTATGAAAACCAAGAAATTAATTTTATATGTCTTCGCCTATAGTGAAATCAATTTTTTTTTACCTCTTTTCGATTCTAACAAAAGTTGTAGAGTTAGTCTTTGTGTTCTAATGGTAATAGTAACACTAAAATCGGCCTGGTAATTCTTGAGATATCTTAACTTTTCTCTTTGAATCCTTTGAATCCTTTGAATCTTATAAAATTTCTTTACAAATTTGTAAAAAGATTTTATAATATTCAAAAGAACTGCCAGGCCGATTTTAGTGTTACTACTACTATTAGAATCACAAAGACTAGCTCTACAACTTTGTTAGAAATTGAAAAGAGGTTATCTTGGTAAAAAAATTGACTTCACTATAGGGAGAAGTTAAATTGGGCTATATTATAACACTTACGATATAATACTATCACTTATATACAGATTACGAATTAATAATTTGGTATTCGGTTCAAATTACAATTATTATAATGTAAAAAAAAACTTTGATCTTTCAGATCTTAGGTTTAAATACTTTTAAAATTGAAGCAGATGTCGATAATTATTTAATTAGTTGGCACATTATAAGACACTTTTATTATTTTTTCGGAACTGTCTTACGAATAATGACAATATTCTAAGTTTATACAACATGTCTATATCAAAATATTTTTTGAATTATGCATTTGTTAGACGCATAAATAACTACAGACAGGCAGACCACCCTAAGTGCACGGATTACGTAAATTCATTCTAAATGCATGGTATAATCTGGTCTCAGCTTATAAGAGCTCTATATATTTTGCTCTCTATAAATGCATACCCTCTCTAAGTGCACACTTTTTCCTATGGTCCCGAAAGGGTGCACTTAGAGAGATCTGACTGTATAATCACATACGGACTGTTCATTTCTAAATATTATGAATTTAATACAGTAAAAAAGTCAACCAAAGGTATAAACAATACAAGCAAACTACTATCTTAAATGCCGTAATCTTTTAGAAAATCAAGAATTTTAGGTGTTGTTCATAAAAATGGTATTTTATTTCTTAATGCTGAACAAATCCAAAAAATTTACAGTATTCGAAATAATTTTCCTTTATCAAAAATAATAAATAAAAATATTGACTCTTCAAAGCATGTATATCAGAGACATACTGATATATATCAGGCTACAATCTGTTTTACATTGGCAGAATATTAAAAAATATCAGAAGCATATCAGATAGTAAACAAAAATTTGGATTAGATATGTCTTTGACTTTTAGCAAAATGCATTTAGAGAACAATTAAGAAAAATGCATTTATAGAGACAAAACATATACCAAACATATACTTGGGCCCGAAATTAGAGTTGCACTTAGAGGAGTTGCATTTAGAGAGTGTTGATTGTATTGGCAATATAGATCAGATTTTTTGGAGGCTATCGGGTACCCTATATACATGCTTTGGACCTGTGTACTTTAGCCTTTATATTATCTCTGTTAGTTGCAATCACGTCACCGAGTCAAATGTCAAATGTATTACGCCTTGTACGAAATTTTCAAAAGCAATTTTTCAAAGAAATCAAAATTTTTTTCCAAAATCGAGAATTTTCAGTTTTTTTGTACCAAGTTACATATAAAAATAATTACGTAGAATGATATTATTAGCTCAAGACAAATATTATCATGTGATTAACATTCATAGTAAGCCCGGAATTCGATATAACACGTGATCTTCATAATTCCAATTAGAGTCACTAGTTTGAAGCTCAATTCTAGCCAAAATCTTTAAATCGAAACAATATTTTCGTGACGCAGTAATGTATTGTCACACTTTATGTTTGCATTTACCAGTAGTAGTGATACGGGTGGCCCCTGCCCAACGGCCAGGTCGATGGGCGGGACTCTCAGCATGCACCTTTTTAGGCCGGGCCGGTCGATATAAGAAGTGTTTGAATTATTTTTTACAAACTGGTTAGCAGGAGCTATAGTAAAATTATCAGTTGAATGAACGACTATAATTTCATTAGTAAAGTTTTTAGTGATCTTGGGGCAAAATTGACCCATCTGACCAGGGATCTGACCAGGAATTTTGGGATTGCCCTTTATGAGTTGTTTGAATTGATTCTTTTCTAAAGCATATTTCAGGCTGAGATTAACTAATGTTTATAACGATGTAGATATTCATTAATTGGCCAATTTAAATGATAAAATTAGTAAATAACGAATATAAAATATGGTAAGGAACGGAAATTCGAGTATGTTCGGGTGTATAGATAATAAATACTAACGCGCTATCCCTTTAGTCAGTGTTGTCAATGGACATGGACATGTCCATGGACATGGACATATAAAAATATGGATGTTCATATCCATGAACATATAAAAATATGTCCATGTCCATGGACATGGACATTGGACATTGTGTCCATGGACTGTCCATGTCCAATAATTTGCTTGGACATATGTCCATGTACAACACTGCCTTTAGTGATAGACTTTTTCAGACAAATTGGCCTGCCACAATAATATATTTACCCTGTTAATGTAACGTTTTAAATGATCTAATAAGATCATGGACGTGCCGTTTAGAATTGTCGATATCAGAACTTTAAATCAATTACTGACAGGTACAAATGACACACTCGCTTAACAACTCGTAGTTTTACTTTTACTGGTTTATTTCGCCACGCTAAAAGAAAATAAAGGCGGGGCCCTGTTAGAAATAGTTAAAAGGGTATTGGTTAAAAGCTCTTGGCAATAGTCTGTCCGGTAATAATAATAATATTATTTATGGATTTAGTTCGAAATCCCGAAGAACTAAATCGTGATGGTACTAGATCTCAGCACTTAGATCCCTAAAGAACAATATTCCGACAATTCATTAAAGCTAAATCCTGAAAAAAAAAAAATTCCCGAATAATTATAACTCTGAAGAATCACAATCTCGTAAATACAAAATCCCGGATGTAATAATCCCAAATATAATAATTCCAAGCGTAAAATGTATATCAATATTTTTGTATTTACGGTAGTTCATTAAATATTATTCGGGATTATTCATTCGAGATGCTGTATTTACGAGAATGTGAGTTGCATAAATTAATATAGTATACGGTATAACTGTATTATACGGAATGTATATTTTTTATTGAAAACTTTTACATTAAGTATAAAATTTTAAAAATATATTATAATTTTGATAAAAAAAATTAAACACTTAATATAATTTCGATTAATAAGGGTTATTAACACACTACACAGAAATCTGGGAATCAGAAATAATTACTGTACCGCACTGCCCCTAGTATCCGGGTATTATAAAAAAAAAAGTGTATTATACATGACAATATCCATGGGTACTTAACCAAGAGTGGGTACTATGCTTGGAGGGTATTGTGACTTGGAGGTAGGCTTTGTTATTAAATCAATTTTAATTAATCTAACAACCTGGAATTTTAATACCCGGGTCTTATACAATTTTTTCGAGAGTTTTTTTTGTAATGTACCCGGGAATTATTTGAAGAGGGATATTGCATAAGGGGGTACTAAAGGCAGTGCGGTACGGTAATTTTTATTCTAATATTGTTTATGGTTTTTTTCGAGTTTTTTTAATGATATTTTAATAACGACTTAGTTAATAATTTAAATGTTTAAGGCTGTTTTTAAATCCTATTGATTTATAGAGTTCGAAAATGGCTTCGTTCAAAAGTTGAGAATACTGTTAAAAAAAGAAGCTAGAAATTTAATTTTTATTGTTTGATTAACGAAACAAAAGATCTAGTATAATAATAGATATTATACTAAAAAATTGATTTCAAAGAGAGTCTTTGGAATATTATGTTTGGTGACAACTTGTAAAAATAGGGGTTTGAAGAAATTTTGTAGATGGATTTGAAAAGCGCAGTAAAATTGTACATAAATAGAATCGAGCAAAAATATTTTTTGTGCTTGGATTCTAAATTGCATAATCAATTAATTTGTTGGAGAATTTGAGTTCAATTTAATAAGTACTGGTATATTGAATTAACTAATAATTGTGGGGATTATGCTGAAATTTGGATCATTCTGAAATGTTATATAGTCCTAACTCTAACCCTAAAAAAGAGAAGTAAACCAAATTTTAAAAACTTCATATTTACTAACATAAAATTAAATCATAATTCGGGCCGGCATTTCAGCATGATCCAATAAATTTTGTTATTGAATGATCTTAAAATTGCACATAAGGCAATTGAAATCTTTTAGAGCCTAAATGAATTAATCTTTCTCCATAAGCAAGAATTTCAATCTTTTTTTTTATAAAATATTTTTATGATTAATTTAAAAATGGAGTCGGTATATATCTACTATACACAATGTATACCACTGCGTGCAATCGGTAATCCACTTAGGGAACTATCACTTATTACGTAATTATAGCCCCCCTCCAGAGTCAGTCATTTGACAATTACAAGTTCTAAAGTAATCAATCGTTTGACAATTGTAAGCTCTAAAATAACCAATCGTATAGAGTTTATATTATGATTACTTTAGAACTTGTAATTGTCAAATAACTGACTCTGGAGGGGGGCTATAATTATATAATAAGTGATAGCTCCCTTATGATCTTTAATTATGACATGTTTGGTCATTCACTTATGATATATTTTTTTTAATTTATTCGTCACGGCATTAGCACATTCACTTGTGATATATTTTTTTAAATTTATTCGTTACGGCATTAGCATTTGTACCAATTATTTTAATTTACATACTGTATATCACACATCAACTACTCTTTAATTAGACTGCTTGAAGTTAATATTTTGGTTAATATCACATTCCTTGACTCTTGTGGTCAAATGAAACGAACATATAAAATGAACAAACTATTTTTAATGTAGTAAATATATTATAACAGATTGACTTCAAGTTAAA